ATTCATTAAAACAAAATGGCCCCAGTACAATCTCAGATGTGTTTGATAAAATTCCATTACACACTTAACAATTGAATAAATCTACTCGAAATTATATATCCACCAAGAAACAGTATGCCAGAAATGTATAATGTTCAAATAATTAATATGTATTTAATTAATATATCATTCTAATCAATAGACAGTTTTTGTTTGATAGGTTCACCAGTAAGCCAGTAAATGGAGAAGTGGTTGTATACGCCATAGTTTTAAACTGGCCAAGCTCAAATTACCTGGTACTGGGTACTCCAGTCACATCACCCAAGACCACAGTCAACATGCTGGGATATTCACCACCATTACTATGGAAACAAACTGCTACCGCCGGGATGAACATCACTATGCCGAATCTGAGCGTGAACGCAATGCCATGCAAATGGGCATGGGTACTAAAACTCACCAATGTTGTATAATGTCAACGCACTCTTTGATTAGTCCAAGTTTAGTTTTGAAACTGAAGCTTATTATTAGGAGTGTAAAGATTGTCGTTTTACAAAATCCAATACACAGGCTATAGTAGTATGATTACATGCACCACACTTGAAATCAATGAAATGAATCACAGTTGGTAACAAAATCCTGCGGAAATTTAGCCACTGATATCATTTTCACAATTGAGTCATGTGGATTTACAGCAAAGTGAAATCATGTATTAACAAGGCATACATTATACTTTCTATGTAAGGCCAGACTTTTAGTATCCGTTGTTTCGCGAACCCGTCGAATGAACAGGAGCCGAAAATGAAATGAAATTTTATTTATTTCCAAGTTGCATTTTCGTTGGAGTATCATGATCAAAGTACCGAAGTCTCGAGCAGATGAGAAACAAGGTTATACAGGGAATAACATTTTATTTCTTCTTTCTGATCTCACAATTCTTTGAGAATCACACAAATCTAATGGGAAAGAAAGAATAAATTTTTTTTTCCCCCGCCCTCCTCAAAAAAATTGCCTTATAAAAACTCAAGAAACAAGGAATAAAAAAAAGTCTGGCCTAACTTCATGTAATTAAAGTGAGGGAGTCGTCGCCTGCGCATGCGTCAGATGGCCGATAGCGTGTCATTGTTTACAAACAAGCGTCTACCCATGAGCCTTTGCGGTTTTAGCGTGTGTTATCATCATCGCCGCCGCTGCTTGGGACTCAATTCCTGCGTGCAGGTGACAACCCTCCCGCTTTAATAATTTTGCGCCAATATAATGCTAACTATATATAGAGAACGCACCAAAATACATTTTTTAAGAGCATCTTACCAATTTCCCTGTAAAATAACCTTCACCTTATATTCAAAGGTATACTCACCAAGTGGCCTAGCTACTGTAGATGTATATTATATATGTTGGGGTAACAATTCCAAGAAAGAGCACACCGCATTAAAGTGACATAATTAAATTTATTTTAAATGGAGGTGATATAGAGTTATATTCAGATTTATTCTGTGAATTTGTAAAACTGTCATTTATATACAATCGTAGATACACATTAATAAATTGTCAATTTAGTTATGATGTTCGAATTTACTTGCCAGCTGTTGTCTAGGATAGAGATAATTATTCAGACATTGTGGTACCAATGTGTGATGACAACCACAGACAATGTTGTGAATGCCAAGGTCAATTTTTGGTGCTGCTCACAAAATAAACCAATATAACTTTTTTCAGCAGTTTTCATCAAGACAATGGAAATGGAAAATGTAGATTGGATTCCGGCTCCTGATGCGCCACTCAGTTCTGTGCCCCCTAACACAGGATAAATGTAGATTGGATTCCAGCTCCTGATGCACCAATCAGTTCTGTGCTCCCTATCACACAGTAAATGTAGATTGGATTCCAGCTCCTGATGCACCACTCAGTTCTGTGCTCCCTAGCACAGGGTAAATGTAGATTGGATTCCAGCTCCTGATGCACCACTCAGTTCTGTGCTCCCTAGCACATGATAAATGTAGATTGGATTCCAGCTCCTGATGCACCACTCAGTTCTGTGCTCCCTAACACAGGGTACATGTAGATTGAATTCCAGCTCCTGATGCACCACTCAGTTCTGTGCTCCCTAAC